ATCTCAATCAGTCCGGTTCTACTCAGTCAAGACCAGTTTCAGTCAAGATCAGAGCTAGACAAGATTCGGATCAAATTAAACCAAACACAGACACGACCGGACTTCGACAAACCAGTCTTCGGCAGGATCACAATCAAACAAGACCACACTAAGACAAAACCATAGTCAAACAAGACAAAACCGGACTCAGTCAAGACCGAACTCAGACAAAACCTTAGTCAAATAAGATAAAACCGGACTCAGTCGAAACCGAACTCACACAGGATCGGACTCAGACTAGAATAGATTTAAAAGAGGTGACTCAGATAATATCAGCCTCACGCACGACCGGCCTCCGCCAAAATTAGACAAAAACAGATTAAAAGAAGTCAGGCACAGACAGAACCGGATTCAGACAAAACCGAACTCAGACCAGACTCTAGTTTACGACTGAAAATCTCTGCTTTAAAGATTAAGTCAATCAATCTCAATCAGTCTGGTCCTACTCAGTCATGACCAGACGTTGACAAGGCCAGTTTCAGCCAAGTTCGTAGTTAGACAGGGTCCGGCTCATATTAAATCAAAGATAGACACGACCGGACTTCGACAAACCAGTCTTCGGCAGGATCACAATGAAACAAGACCACACTAAGACAAAACCATAGTCAAACAAGACAAACCTGGACTCAGCCAAGACCGAACTCAGACAAAACCATAGTCAAATAAGACAAAACCGGACTCAGTCAAAACCGAACTCACACAGGATCGGACTCAGACTAGAATAGATTTAAAAGAGGTGACTCAGATAATATCAGCCTTATCCACGGCCGGACTCCGACAAAATTAGACAAAAACAGATTAAAAGAAGTCAGGCATAGACATAACCGGATTCAGACAAAACCGAACTCAGGCAAGACAAGACTCAGAAGAGACGAACCTTACGGCTGAAAATCTCTGCCGTAAATATTAGGTCAATCAATCTCAATCAGTCCGGTTCTACTCAGTCAAGACCAGTTTCAGTCAAGATCAGAGCTAGACAAGATTCGGCTCAAATTAAACCAAACACAGACACGACCGGACTTCGACAAACCAGTCTTCGGCAGGATCACAATCAAACAAGACCACACTAAGACAAAACCATAGTCAAACAAGACAAAACCGGACTCAGTCAAGACCGAACTCAGACAAAACCATAGTCAAATAAGACAAAACCGGACTCAGTCAAAACCGAACTCACACAGGATCGGACTCAGACTAGAATAGATTTAAAAGAGGTGACTCAGATAATAGCAGCCTTACGCACGGCCGGACTCCGACAAAATTAGGCAAAAACATTAAAAGAAGTCAGGCATAGACACAACCGGATTCAGACAAAACCGAACTCAGGCAAAACCAGACTCTGAAGAGACGAACCAGCTTACGGCTGAAAATCTCTGCAGTAAATATTACGTCAATCAATCTCAATCAGTCCGGTTCTACTCAGTCAAGACCAGCTTCAGTCAAGATCAGAGTTAGACAAGATCCAACTCAAATTAAACCAAAGACAGACACGACCGGACTTCGACAAACCAGTCTTCGGCAGGAACACAATCAAACAAGACCACACTAAGACAAAACCATAGTCAAACAAGACAAAACCGGACTCAGCCAAAACCGAACTCACACAGGATCGGACTCAGACTAGAACTAGAATAGATTCAAAGGAGGTGACTCAGATAATATCAGCCTTACGCACGGCCGGACTCCGACAAAATTAGACAAAACCGAACTCAGGCAAGCCAAGACTCAGAAGAGACGAACCTTACGGCTGAAAATCTCTGCTATAAAGATTAGGTCAATCAGTCTGGTCCTACTCAGTCATGGCAAGGCCAGTTTTAGCCAAGATCAGAGTTAGACAGGGTTCAACTCAAATTAAACCAAAGACAGACACGACCGGACTTCAACAAACCAGTCTCTGGCAGAATCGGATCACAATCAAACAAGATCACACTAAGACAAAACCATAGTCAAACAAGACAAGATCTGGCTCAAATTAAACCAAACACAGACACGACCGGACTTCGACAAACCAGTCTCTGGCAGGATCACAATCAAACAAGATCACACTAAGACAAAGCCATAATCAAACAAGACAAAACCGGACTCAGCCAAGACCGAACTCAGAAAAAAACATAGCCAAATAAGACAAGGAGTCTCCCTTAGCTTAGACGGTAAAGGCACAGCTACAAAGCAAGACGATGCTGGAGGTCACTGGGTCGATTTCCGGTTTGGTTTAGGAATTTCTCCGCTTCCTTGGGCCTAGAGTATGACTGTACTTGCCACACAATTATACTAATGCAAAAATGGTACAGACATCGAAAGCTATCAATTAATAACTGTGGAGATGCATCTAGAACAGTAAGTTGAGAACACGCAATAAGCTTGAAATGCGAAGAAGAAGAAGAAGAAGAAGAAGAAGAAGAAGAAGAAGAAAATATAAGACAAAACCGGACTCTGTCGAAACCGATCTTAGGCAAGACCGAACTCAGGCAAGTCCACATTCACATACGGACAAGGTCGAACTCAGACAAGACTAGGGTCAGGCTCAGTCAGTACCACACTGACGTTATACCGAACTCAAGGATACTCAAACGAGCTACAGCTCAGGAATGATCAGATTTAGAAAAGGTCAGTCTCAGACAAACCTAGATTCATTACCTTCGCTGAATGCATCACTGGAAGACCAATGAGTTTACACGACATCCATGAAGTTTCCCACTTCGGAGTTCGAAACGATTACCTGGATTAGCCCCGCTTATTGTGGGACGAGGAATTCGGGACGATCTCCGGAGAAGCAATAAAAATATCTCAGTTGGGACGCCCTTCGATTTCCTTTGAACCGAAAAAAAACAAGAATTGCTGAAGAAGACAGTCGGTTTGGGACGCCTCTGCAACTACGGAGAGCATGAAAGAAAGATCCGATCAGTGTAAATTTTCCCCATAGAGGATTCGGAACTACCAACGAAATTACCTTTCCTGAATGCAGTTCTGGAAGATCAGTAAGTTTGGACGAAAACCGTGATGCTTCCGACTTGGGAGTTCGAAACGAGTACTTGGATGTGGGACGACCCCGTGTGGCTAAGTTACGACACCCTCCGTGAATTTCCTCTGAAGAAATCAAACAAACAAGAACTGCCGAAGCCAGTGAGCAGGGATGGCTTCAAAAACGGTTCGGGACACTTCCGCTACTACGGAAAGAATGAGAGAAAGAAAGATCCGATCAGTGTAAATTTTCCACGTAGACGCTTCGGAACAACCAACGAAATTACCTTTCCTGAATGCAGTTCCGGAAGACCAGTATGTTTAGACGACATCCATGAAGCTTCCCAGGGAGATCGAAATGAGGAATTCGGGACGACCTCCGAAGAAGCTATAGAGTGGCTAAGTTAGGACACCCTCCGTGAGTTTCTTCTGAAGGAAAAAAAAAAACAAGTACTGCTTAAGAAGTCAGTCAATAGGGATGGCTTCAAAAATGGTTCGGAACGCCTCCGCAACTACGGAAAGCATGGGAAGTTGGGACGACCTCCGGAGAAGCTATAAAAATGTCTGAGTTGCGACGCCCTCTGTGAAATTTCCTCTGATGAATAAAAACAAGAACTGCTGAAGAAGCCGGTTGGTTTGGGACGTCTCCGCAACTACGGAAAGTATGAGCGAAAGAAAGATCCGACCAGTGTAAATTTTCACCATAGAGGATTCCGATCTGCCAACGAAATTCCCTTTCCTGAATGCAGTTCTTGAAGACCAGTACGTTTGGACGACATCCGTGATGCTTCCGACTTGGGAGTTCGAAACGAATACCTGGATGCGGGACGACCCCGTGTGGCTAAGTTACGACACCCTCCGTGAATTTCCTCTGAAGAAATCAAACAAACAAGAACTGCCGAAGCCAGTGAGCAGGGTTGGCTTCAAAAACGGTTTGGGGCACCTCCGCAACTACGGAGAGTATGAGAGCAGAATGATCCGACCAGCGTAAAATTTTCAACGTAGACGATTCGGTTCATTGAACTATCAAGAAGAAGTTAACTCTCGGGAGAAGTTCACGGAATTCCGACAATCGGTCTACAGGTTCTTCAAGTGAAGTACCGACGAGCTTCAACAGGAAAACTTGTAAAATCCACAGGATTAAAGGGCAAGTTCAGCTAGTTCAGTCGTGAGAAAATCTAAAGAATAGTTTTAGCTAAGACCTCTTGTTTAAGCTTCACAGAAATTGTCTTACAATTTGCTTTGGCATTTCCTGGACGTTCTCTATATTAGGATGACCGCCGAAAAAGCTTTAGAAAACTGATATGCTGCTGTGGCTCATCTTCACTAAAAGAGCTTGGGACGACCGCCTATTCGGGACGACTGCGGAGGTTGACTAATGTTCACAGATTGGAACAACGGCCGGAGAAGTCAATGAACAGAAATGCCTTATAAATAGAGGGTTCGGGACGCCTCCGCAACCACCCGTCCACGTAGACGATTCGGGACTGCCCAAGAAATAACCTCCATTGAATGAGAGTCGGGAAGATCGCTGAGGTTAGAGAATATTTTCCCATTTTGAAACGATCACCAGGACTAGTCTAGTTGGATGCGGTGCGGGACGACCGAGCCGCTCCGTTTGGATGGCTTGCCAATGACCGCAGTCGACTGGGAAAAGCTAAATATGATTAAATCGAAACTAATTTGCTGGATGTAATCGCAAAGCTCCTCAAGTAACGCTTCTTGACTAATCGCGTAGCGTTCACTCGGTCACATAGATTACCCGGTGCGATACAGGCCCGAACCGTTATCTCCACTATGACATTGGTTCTCCACACCCGTTTGTGTATGACCGTGTTTATTTTTATGACACAACACTCCAAATGCTATAAATAAAGCTACCAGTAGATAAGGCTCCGTGTCGCGAATGACATGATACTCCTTATCGCAGCTTTTGCCAACTTAAACTGTTTCACCTTGAACTACAACATTACTTTTTTTCTTCTTCTTCTTCTCCGCAGCTTCGCAAAGAGCAGGAACTCCAGAAGCAAAAACTATGGCATGCCTTCCAGGAGAAGAACAAGGAACTGGAGATGCAGCACCGACAACAGCTGGAACACAAGTTTCAGGTAGTTTCCGTAAGTTTTCTGCATCCGCCAAGCCCCTTGTTAGAATTAAATCCCTCTACCATTTCCAGGAATTGCGCGATCAGCGCCTGGCGGAGGAAGCCGCCCAGCAGCGGGAACGCCGCGAACGGGAAGCGATGAAGCGCAAAGAGAAGCAGGACTTCAGCGCCAACGCCAGCTCCGAGGTCAAGCAGAAGCTGCAGGTTCGATCTACCCCGATTTCCGTCCTCTAAATTGCCATTGACTCATCTTCTTCCTTTTGTTGTTGTTTTGCAGACCTTCCTCATCCAGAAGAAGCAAGCGGCCGCCTCCAATGGCATGAACTCGCCCTCGTCCTATCGAAATTGGTAAAGTCCTTCTGCACGTCTCGAAGACTGATCTAGCTAAACTATCTGCTTTTATTTTTTTAGGGGCGTCGTGAAATCCTCCTCTGGCGAGTCGATACCGGCCGGAGCCGTGGCGGCCAGTTCGCACCCGTACAAAATCCCTCCGCCACCGCCGTCGTCGATGGCCAAGTACGATTCGGACTTTCCACTGCGGAAGACAGGTGAGTGAGTGGGCAGCATCCAGTATTTGCCAGTGTTGCCAAACTTGTTTTCCCTTTTTGCCTTGTTTTCGTGGTGTGCAGCTTGATTGATTGATTGGTACTAATTGGGTGGGCGCCGCCTCGACTGAACGAGATGATAATGGGACGATGCGTCGTCTGCAGATACAGATACTGGAGATCACAAGTTGTTTTGAAATGATTTTGTTTGATTAGATTAGCGTGTGCGGTTGATTTTAGACGAAGTTGATGACTCTGATAGGGGAGGATTCAGGACTGAAATGAGGCGAAATGCATGCTGTGTTTAAGTGTTTCGCAAGCTTCGAAAATTTTAACCAAATCGAGTTTGCAAGGTTATAACTCTCAGTATGCTAATAGTAGGTTAGAGAAGCTTTTTTTTTGCGGAGAATCAGATCAAATCTCAGGTTCGAGGGGAGATCAGAACTCCTCAGAGGCTTTCCAATTAAAATTGCAAGTTTTATTGAGGTTTTAAAGCATTCTAGAAGTTTGAATCACGGTAAATATAACAGCAGTTCCACGTCAAATGACGAATCGGAAAACGGGACCTTGTTCGATTTGCATGAAACTTTGAATAATTGTTTGTTATGGGTAATCAAAAATGGACGAATTTTAGCATAAATGTAAATCATTGACCATAACAAATAATTACGCAAAGTTTCATACAAATCGGAGAAGGTTGATTCAAAAATTTACTTTTTTTCGCTTTGGTCTGGAACTGCTTAGAACCCTAATAAAACCCAAAATTGTTACTTGGGTTCATTATTATATTTATTGGACAATCGAACCGAAAATATAGCAGTACTTCGTAGAGACTCCTTGAACTTGACTTGACAATCTTCCAAACAGTCCAACGCTGGAAGTCCCTTGATCATGTTCTTTAAATCTTAATTAATAGATCTGGCAGTCCTACACAGGCTCTGAAAGTCTTCCGAACTGACTAAAGTATGTCGAACATTTTCTAGAAGTCCTCTAGACTAGACTTGAAAGTCTTCCGAACATAAATTAATGGTCCATTGATTATGTCCCAGAATTCCTCTTGACTTGGTCTGGAAGTCTTCTAAACTACACGCTCGGACAATTTTCTGAACAAAGCCAGGAAGTCCATTGCACTTAACCTGCAAATCCATGTCCATAGGATAGAAATGCACTGGAGATCTTCTTCATTTGGCCATAAGTCTTCTGGAACTGGTGGACTTCTGAACTTCTGGAATTCTCACGGAGTTGACCTGCATTTGAACAAATCCAGTCGGTTCTCTGAACATACCCTGAAACCGTTCAGAATTTACCTTGGAAATCATTTGAACATGAACAGGAAGTCAGTTATGCCTTAGAATTGATCTTTACTTTGCTGAAGCCTCCGGAAGAACCTTGCTCAGAAATGGAAAAATAAACATACCCTGAATTGCTTGTGGGCTTTTACTCAGCTCCTAGCTTCAGAAGTTTTCTGAACTTATCTTGGAAGTCCTCTGTACATACCCCGAACGTCCTCGGTTGATGTCCTAAAAGTCCTTTGAATTCTGCTTAAAATTGCACTGAACCTGGACCTGGAAGCCTGTTTGACTTAACTTAACTTGACCTTGTTTGATTATGAATGATTAGTGAGTCTGGAGTTCTCTCCGAGTCCTGGGCAATAGGTTTCAAATTTCTACTGAATCCAAGGCCCGAGCTCTGTACCGCAAGCCGCCACGCATCGCATTGTACCGCATCGACCCACCAACCCCCCCCCCCCTGATAATGATGATCCCCCCCCCCCCCAGAGATGACAAATATTCAGCTAACCAATACTGACCAACCAAACTCGCATGCTTGCTCTGCTTGTTGCCTCTTTCCCCTCTTTCTCTATCTTTTTCTCGCCACCACCGACAGCCTCCGAGTCCAATCTGCTGAAGATCCGCATCAAGCAACGGGTAATCGAAAAACGTGCCATGACCGGACCGCTGGCCGCCCGTCGGCAGGAACGACTCCAGCAGGCCGCCCAGAGGAGAATGCAGAAGCAGTCGTCGGGGCACTCGCCATCCTCCTCCGGCCAGCACGGCGCTCCGCATCTTCCCGGACAACCGCCGACGCATCCGCACCTCTCGACGCTGGCTGCCCAACATCCTGCAAGTAGGTATTCGCCGGTGCCGCGCCGCCCTCACCTCGTGCGTAGAACCGAATCAGATCTTTCCGTTTCATCGATCGCAGCGCGAGCGCGCGGTCCGAATTGGTTACATAAATATACATTGTTTTTTTTTTTTGTTTGTCTACATCTTTGCCTGCTCGATTGTGTGAGTGATTTGATGTGTTACTAAACGGCATTAATCCCAGCGAAACGCAACAGCAAACGCACATTCCCGGTCCTCTCCGAAATTCGCGTGTGCTAATTGAGACTAATAACCCAAACAACGCACGACCTTAGGCGCCATCTGTTGGCTGCTAGGAAAAGCTTTTGCTAACTCACTCTTCCTCTCCCACAGATTGCGCCGGCGGAACGCCCGACTCCGGTCCGAATTCGCCACCTGCCCTGGGCAGTCGAGGTTCTCCGTCGAATGCACCGATCCAGGAAGAGAACGAAGACCCACAGTACGGACCGGGTGGTCGGTCCAGTATCAACGACCTGTCCCTGTTCAGCTCGCCCTCGATGCCGAACATTTCTCTTGGACGGCCGCATCTGGGCGATGCGCACTCTGCTAATCATATTGTAGGAGTATTACGGCTGAGGTGCTCCAAGAACGGGATTAACCCATTTTCTTTTGTTTGCAGGCAATGCTACCGCTGAGACCTCACCAGATGGTGGCCGCCGGTCAGCCACCTCCACTATCGCACCACCCGCCGCCATCGTTCGCCCAGCACCAGGCGATGTTGGATCAGTTGACGGAGCAGCAGCTGCAGGCGGCTGCTGCGGCGGCCGCAGCGGCAGCAGCTGCCGCTGCCGCCAGTGGTCTATCGATAAATCCGACCCACCTCGGTGGGATTCACGCAGGCGTTCCCTCGGTTTACGGACACCCCATTACCGATGCCCAGGTGGCACAGGCACGACTGCACAAGCAAGGCCATCGACCGCTCGGTCGAACACAATCCGCTCCTCTTCCCCTCGGTCATCCCATGCTAACCGGAACCGGTGGCAGCGTCGTCAACATCGGGCAAACTCACTACGAAAACAGTGACGTAAGTATCCTGGTTATGCAAGGATCCCACGATCCCTATAACTCCCACTCACTGCAGGCCGAACGCCAAGCTTACGAGCAGCACCTGTTGATGAAGCAGAAGATACGTCAGACGGCGCTTAACCGGGCCAACTGCGTCCGGGAACCGCAACTCAAGGAGGAAGTCGAATCCGGCGAGGTGATCGACCTCACCGACAAGAAGCAACCTCCGAAAACCACAGTCATAACCTCAAACAGCGTTATCAAGAGCACCTCCCATACCACTCTGCTGCGGGATCCGGTGGAAAGCTTACAACAGCAGCAGCACGTCGAGTTCCTCCAGGCTCAGGCCTTGATGCGACACTCGATGCAGATCGGTATGCTTGAAGATCCCTACAACCGGTCGTTGTTGCGACCACTCTCCCGAACCTCATCCTCGCCGCTGGTACATCTGGGAACTCCGGCCAGCAGTAATCATCCGGTTGCTCTCTCTGATACCGGCCAAGACGACATTCCACCTCCCGTGAACCTCACGATCCAGAACCGGAGTCGTTCGATGCTCAGCTATACCAACGAGGGACTGGCAAGCAGTCCCGGACCGCTCCAGTTAACCACCTCTTCCTCGGCTTCCGCCATTCCCATCCGGTTGGTTCAGCAGAATGGGAAACCCACCACGGGTTTAGCCTTTGACAGTCTCATGCTGAAGCATTCCTGCGTCTGCGGAGACAACGCTGCACATCCGGAGCATAGCGGCCGACTGCAGAGCATTTGGGCACGGCTGATGGAGACGGGTCTAGCTGCACGGTGCGATAAGCTTCGCTCTCGGAAGGCCACCCAGGAAGAACTGCAATCCGTTCACTCAGAAGCGCACTCCCTCCTCTTCGGTACAAACCAGATCAACCGCCAGAAGCTGGACGCCAGTGGGGTAAGCTTTGTCCGCTTAGGGTGCGGTGGCGTTGGAGTCGATCTGGACACGACCTGGAACGAACACCATACGGCAGCAGCTGCACGGATGGCCGCCGGTTGCGTTATCGACCTGTCCTACAAGGCAGCCAAGGGTGAAATCCGGAATGGGTTCGCCGTAGTTCGTCCTCCGGGTCACCACGCGGAACCGAACGCCGCCATGGGATTCTGCTTCTTCAACTCGATAGCCATCGCGGCAAAACTGCTCCGACAGCGACTTCCATCGGAGGTCCGACGAGTTCTGGTAGTGGACTGGGATGTCCACCACGGCAACGGAACGCAGCAGGTGTTCTATGACGATCCGAGTGTGCTGTACCTGTCCATCCATCGGCATGACGACGGAAACTTTTTCCCCGGAACCGGAGGTCCTACGGAGAGCGGAACTGGTCCCGGGTTGGGCTTCAATGTGAACATTGCCTGGTCCGGTGGGTTGAATCCACCGCTGGGGGATGCAGAATACTTGGCCGCCTTCCGGACGGTCGTAATGCCAATCGCACGGGACTTCCAGCCGGACGTAGTACTGGTTTCGGCCGGATTTGATGCCGCATTCGGACACCCGGCTCCCCTTGGAGGCTACATGGTGTCGCCGGCTTGTTTTGGGTACCTGACGCGGGAGCTGATGAAACTGGCCGATGGGAAGGTGGGTTCTTACTGTTGAGTGGTGCTGTTCAGGGTTTGATGGCATTTTTTGCCGTTTCAGGTGATCCTGGCGCTGGAAGGCGGCTACGACCTGCCGGCCATCTGCGATTCCGCCCAAGAGTGCGTCCGGGCGCTGCTGGGTGACGATCTGGCTCCGATTGCCGGTACGGAACTTTCGCGACCACCGTGCCAGTCGGCCATCGAGACGCTGCAGAAGACGATCGCCATCCAGATGACGCACTGGCCGTGCGTGAAGCGACTGGCGCATACGGTCAGCTTTTCGGCCATGCAGGCTGTGAGCGGGGCGAATGGCGCTGATCGGGAAGAATCCGACACGGTGACGGCGATGGCCGGACTGTCGATGCAACCGCCCAATAGGTGAGTGTTGGAGGTTGTACGCAGTGCATATTATGAATATCCGTTTGGATGGTTTTTTAATCAAGAATCCGTCATGTGAGGTACATCATAAATCAATGGACCAATCGACCATTTGAAAATTGACAATTTGAAAATCAACCAATTGCAAATTGACCAATTGAAAATCAACCAATTGCAAATTGACCAATTGCAAATTGACCAATTGCAAATTGACCAATTGCAAATTGACCCATTGCGAATTGACCAATTGCGAATTGACCAATTGCAAATTGACCAATTGCAAATTGACCAATTGCAAATTGACCAATTGCAAATTGACCAATTGCAAATTAACCAATTGCAAATTAACCAATTGCAAATTTACCAAACGCAAATTGACCAATTCCTAATTGACCAATTGAAAGTTGACCAATTGCAAATTGACCAATTGCAAATTGACCAATTGCAAATTGACCAATTGCAAATTGACCAATTGCAAATTGACCAAATGTAAATTGATAAATTAAAAATTGGCCAGTTCCTAAATGACCGATTGAAAGTTGACCAATTGCAAATTAACCAATTGCAAATTGACCAAATGTAAATTGATAAATTAAAAATTGGCCAATTCCTAAAGGACCAATTGCAAATTGACCAATTGCAAATTGACCAATTGCAAATTGACCAATTGCAAATTGACCAATTGCAAATTGACCAATTGCAAATTGATCAATTGCAAATTGACCAATTACAAATTGACCAATTGCAAATTGACCAATTGCAAATTGACCAAATGTAAATTGATAAATTAAAAATTGGCCAGTTCCTAAATGACCGATTGAAAGTTGACCAATTGCAAATTAACCAATTGCAAATTGATCAAATGTAAATTGATAAATTAAAAATTGGCCAATTCCTAAAGGACCAATTGCAAATAGACCAAATGCAAATTAACCAATTGCAAATTGACCAAATGTAAATTGATAAATTAAAAATTGGCCAATTCCTAAATGACCAATTGAAAGTTGACCAAATGCAAATTGACCAATTTCAAATTGACCAATTGCAAATTGACCAAATGCAAATTGACCAAATGCAAATTGACCAATTGTGAATTGACCAATTGCAAATTGACCAATTGCAAATTGACCAATTGCAAATTGACCAATTGCAAATTGACCAATTGCAAATTGACCAATTGCAAATTGACCAATTGCAAATTGACCAATTGCAAATTGACCAATTGCAAATTGACCAATTGCAAATTGACTAATATAAAATTGATTAATTGCAAATTGACCAACAGAAAATTGACCAATTGCAAATTGACCAATTGCAAATTGACCAATTGCAAATTGACCAATTGCAAATTGACCAATTGCAAATTGACCAATTACAAATTGACCAATTGCAAATTGAACAATTGCAAAATGACCAATTGCAAATTGACTAATTGGAAACTGACCAATTGCAAATTGACCAATTGCAAATTGACCAATTGCAAATTGACCAATTGCAAATTGACCAATTGCAAATTGACCAATTGCAAATTGACCAATTGCAAATTGACCAATTGCAAATTGACCAATTGCAAATTGACTAATATAAAGTTGATTAATTGCAAATTGACGAACAGAAAATTGACCAATTGCAAATTGACCAATTGCAAATTGACCAATTGCAAATTGACCAATTGCAAATTGACCAATTGCAAATTGACCAATTGCAAATTGACCAATTGCAAATTGACCAATTGCAAATTGACCAATTGCAAATTGACCAATTGCAAATTGACCAATTGCAAATTGACCAATTGCAAATTGACCAATTGCAAATTGACCAATTGCAAATTGACCAATTGCAAATTGACCAATTGCAAATTGACCAATTGCAAATTGACCAATTGCAAATTGACCAATTGCAAATTGACCAATTGCAAATTGACCAATTGCAAATTGACCAATTGCAAATTGACCAATTGCAAATTGACCAATTGCAAATTGACCAATTGCAAATTGACCAATTGCAAATTGATCAATTGCAAATGGACCAATTGCAAATTGACCAATTGCAAATTGACCAATTGCGAATCAATCAATTGCAAATGAATCAATAGCAAATTGGCCAATTGCAAATTGACCATTTGCAAATTGACCAATTGCAAATTGACCAATTGCAAATTGACCAAATGCAAATTGATCAAATTGCAAATTCCTAAAAAAAAGTTAACCATTTGCAAACTGACCAAATGTAAATTGATAAATTAAAAATTGGCCAATTCCTAAATGACCGATTGAAAGTTGACCAAATACAAATTGACCAAATGCAAATTGACCAATTCCTAATTGACCAATTTCTAATTGACCAATTCCTAATTGACCAATTGCAAATTGACCAATAGCAAATTGACCAATTTGCAATGACCAATTGCAGATTGACCAAATGCAAATTGACCAAATGCAAACTGACCAATTGCAAATTGACCAATTGTAAATTGACCAATTGCAAATTAACCAATTGTAAATTGACCAATTGCAAATTGACCAATAGCAAATTGACCAATTGCAAATTGACCAATTGCAAATTGACCAATTGCAAATTGACCAATTGCAAATTGACCAATTGCAAATTGACCAATTGCAAATTGACCAATTGCAAATTGACCAATTGCAAATTGACCAATTGCAAATTGACCAATTGCAAATTGACCAATTGCAAATTGACCAACTGCAAATTAACCAATTGCAAATTGACCAATTGTAAATTGACCAATTGCAAATTGACCAATTGCAAATTGACCAATTGCAAATTGACCAATTGCAAATTGACCAATTGCAAATTGACCAATTGGAAATTGACCAATTGCAAATTGACCAATTGCAAATTGCCCAATTGCAAATTGACCAATTGCAAATTGACCAATTGCAAATTCACCAATTGCAAACTGACCAATTGCAAATTGACCAATTGCAAATTGACCAATTGCAGATAGACCAAATGTAAATTGACCAAATGCAAATTGACCAAATGCAAATTGATCAAATTGCAAATTCCTAAAAAAAAGTTAACCATTTGCAAACTGACCAAATGTAAATTGATAAATTAAAAATTGGCCAATTCCTAAATGACCGATTGAAAGTTGACCAAATACAAATTGACCAAATGCAAATTGACCAATTCCTAATTGACCAATTTCTAATTGACCAATTCCTAATTGACCAATTGCAAATTGACCAATAGCAAATTGACCAATTTGCAATGACCAATTGCAGATTGACCAAATGCAAATTGACCAAATGCAAATTGACCAATTGTCAATTGACCAATTGCAAATTGATCAAATTGCAAATTCCTAAAAAAAAGTTGACCAATTGCAAATCGACCAATTGCATATTAACGAATTCAAGCGAAACACCAAATTTAAGCTACGAACTACCGGAGTTTCCTCTTGATGGGGAATAATTTATAACTTAAATCTACACATCCTACAAAATCCACTCAAACTTCTAACATTCTTCCACCCACAGAACATCGGACATTTCCCGCGAGGACTCCGAAGAACCGATGGATCAGGACGAATCGAAGTAAGTCCCGCACCGTTATCAGGTTTATCGATCTTCGAGCATTGTGGCCGTTGCTGACTCGTTGCCGCCCCTGGCTGAATCACAGCGATCGAATCAATCAGCCCTTTTTTTCCCGGGCGGAGTGGAGGTCGAGTGAGAGTGAATGTGGAGGCGCGTTCGTTCTGTGTTCGAGCGTGATGAGGAGGAGAAATTTTTTTGGAACGGAGTTGCAGCTAGTTTTTTGGATAAAGCCCGAAAGGAAGCGGGAAAATGTTACCTCGAGGTGTGAAAATGTTGGCGGGTTGGTTGGAGAAAAATCTGAGAGCTTAGGACGAAACTAAATTTACACGCAAATTCGGTACAAGCAAAAGCTAGATTATATTTTTGGGTCAGTTTTTTTCCCCGCAAGTAGAAAACCGGAAGAGCGGGGATTTTGAGGTTTGGCGGAAACGAATTTTAGATGGAAGGTGCTTGAATAGCTGAGGAAAGGTGGAAGGTAGTAGAATCAATCGAATCAGGGAAAACTTCGCGGTCGATTTTTCGGTGGAAACAAATCGAAAAATTAACATAACAATCGCGTCGTGACGGGACGACTTATTTTCTCGGACGTTATAGAACAGATAGGCAAAAAATCATCGTACTTTACGTTAGTTGTTATATACGGCGGGAATCGGGCCGTGGCGGAAGTGGCAGTAAAGGCGATTGGCGATGGGACTTTATGAAGTTTGGGTAATTTTGTGTATTTTCGGATGCTTTTCAGTTCAGCGTGCGTTTCGATTTTGACAGCGTCAAAGTGCACTGAACGAAATCGTTGCCTTGTTTTGTGCGGAATATGCAGACAAACATTTTAAGTAGGGATCTTTAAAGCCATCGCCAGTCGGGTCATATTTGTTTTTTTGAGGTACATATATATATATCAACATATTGAATGCACATAAGCAGACGAAACTTGTAGGTGATAAATCGAAACAAAACTTAGTAAACTGTGGATGTTTTACACACAAAGCAAGACTATTTCCGTTTTTCGTTCATCGTTCGTTGTTGGCTGTTGTTGACAAACAGAGTAGATATATAACCAGAGAGCAAAACTGTACTGTATCGCTAAAATCACTCTAGATGTGAATGGATGATAAAAAATTAAAAAAAAACTGTTCAAAAAATCCACCATTTTCGTAACTAAAATTACTATTGTATAGATAAAAAAACTTAACGGAGTCGATGCTAAGCAAGATAAGTACGTTTGTTTTACAAAATGCAAGAAAGTGGTAATTACAAAGTAATTTTTATAGAACGTGATCCCGCCTGTCGGGTGGGCGAAAATTTATTTTATACTTGTACTAAAAAAAACAGAAACTGGGAATAATTTTTGTGCATCACTTTTGCAAACTTTTCCACTATGAACATAAACGAAAGTTACCCCGTTGGTGAGTAATAGATATTCCTTCCACAACAAAAATAACAAACAAGCAAACTAGGCTGAATTAACACACTGCAGAAACAAGCCTATACTGAACTCCTTAATTGTACTAAAAACTAGACGTTTAAAAAAGAACGAAATTATTGCTCAACCTTTGAAGCACTTTGAACCCGAACAAAGTGTACCGCTTGGCCCGGCCGTTGTTCCAAACCAGGAAGTACAGTCAACTCTCGCTAACTCGATATTGAAGGGCCCATCGAGTTGGGGAGGTAAATTTTGGAAATTTGTATGGCAAAAGTGGTCGAAGTAGCCTGGATTTGCCTGGAGTTAGGGAGAGTTCACTGTAGTACCGAAACAATAAGCGCCCACACAGATATCGAATCACACGCATTCATTTAAACCAAATAAAATAAAATTGACTGCTGCCATCAAACAATAACCTTAAAAGAAACCTTTAATCACATTGAAAAAAAAAACGGAAAATCAGAGCGAAACAACAAATGAAGGCAAACAAGGCCAAGAAGAAGAAGAAGGAGCAGAGGGCGAGAAAAAGTAAATATTTATAGTAATTATTGAAAGAAGAGCATACATTTTTAAAGCAGAAAAGTTTATCTTTAATAAGTGTTGAGTGACCTTAATGTATACCAACGAAGAAAACAAAACAAAATATAAAAAGGTAAGCAAATTTAATACAAATCTTATCCAAACAAAGCTTTCGACCCGTTTGAACGCTAAGAAGCTACACTTTTTCAAACTAAACGCTGCATATATTTATCAAATAGCACACTCACAAACTTACAAACACGACCACACATGCCAGTAGAAGGAGTAACCAATACAAACATTACCCTGAAGCACTTCTTTCTACACATCCGCTTTTGAACGAACGCGAAGGTATTTTACATCAACTTTTTGACTGGTTCAACAGGTTTATTTTTGTTGATGGGGTTGTACTAAAAAACAACTATATTTGGACAGGTTCTCCGGCGTCGCCTTGGATGACGTGAGAAACTTACACATACATATATGCATACCCTAATATTTGTTTGATTCCCTCAAGCGCGGATCAATTTGTACTAAAAAACGGACTAGTTTGTAGCTTGGAACATTTTTCCCCGAATTAAAGTGCTGGCCACTTTCGGTTTCGTTTCTTGAAAGGCGTAAACGCAAATACACCCTTTTACCCGTTTCCAATCCTACGGATGTCGTTCTCTTTTTTTAAATAAATATATTGATCTAGTGATAGTAACCGTGGCATCGAGAGAGATTTGTACTAAAAAAATAAAAACAGAAGCTTCTATAATAGGTGTGAGATGTGATATTGTTTCTCAAGCAAGTGCATTTTTTTGTCTCGTTTTATCCTCCTCTTCTTCGGTTTCGGTATAGACGCTTTGGTTTGTTTACACTATAGGAAAACCTCTTCCTCTCCCCCATTTGTGTGAGGGGTTTTTTTCAAGAACACAAACACACGAATGACGACAGATTTCGAACTCTTTCACATTCACTAGACACACACAAACAAACAAACAAACAAATACTGAATGGAGAAATATTTGATGAAAATGAAAACGAATCAATACGCTTTTGTTGTACTAAACAAACAAGTAAGAGTTAAATTTAAAGAAAGAAAAAAAAAACTAGGAAAATGTAAACAAATCACCTCAACAAAAAAAGGAAACTCATATTTAGCTGAAAGTGAAAATATAAACAAACAAAATAATATGAAAAAAGAAACTGAGCCAACATTAAAATAAACATTCCTCTTTTAAAGAAAGAAAAGTAATTTATATTTAAAGAAAAAAAAAGGTGAAACGGAAACACGTTACAGAGCTAAGATGGTACGAAATGTTCGATTTGTGTAAAAGAGAAACACAAAACAAAACAAAAACACACACACACACACACATTTACGAATGTCTATACTTTTAGTTCTTTACTCGTCTGTGCATAGGTTTAAGGGAGCCCCATAGTGTGGGAGCTACGCGTTTGTAAATAGTTTAGTTTAACGAACAAAACAAATCGAACTGGTTTCCTTGTACTAAAAAAAGAGAAGATTCTTTAACTATCATTAGCGGTTATGTTATCTATATGTATGGTTAGTTTAAAATGAAACTGTCCCCTGCCCCATTTGCGGCGGTACACTGTCCGTCGGAGATTGGGGAATCGTTTAATTTTATAAAACTGTTGCTGTTTTGTTTCCTTGTACTAAAAGAAAAGAACGAGAGTTTATTATGTTTTCCTTTTTTGTTTTACATCAATCACACAAACACACACACACATACATGCAAACAAACAGACAAACTTATTGAAAAGAAAAGAGAGAGAGAGGGAGGAAAACAAAGTTTACTCCTACCACGAATAGCTAGTTCAATTTACCTTAACAAACAAAAACAAAAATGGACAAATCGGGAGTGCAAAACGAAAATTGTGAGACAAAAACAGAAAGATTATATTTAATGAAAAAAAAAAAACAAAAACGAAAGAAAATTGCAAAACACTAGATAGGATAAGCAAGGAAGCCGAAGCGGAAACGCCTCGTTTAATAGAGCTATTTGTGAGCGGAAAACTGAAAGTAACAAACAAACAAAAGAACTAATCAACGAGATTCATTTTTAAAATGAAAAGTTTAGAAACGACAACAGAGAGAGAATTTATTTTTCGATGTCCCCCGCCCCCCCTCCTGTTGGAATGCGTTCCCTCGTTTTTTCGCCTTCGCCTTCGTCGAAATTCGTATTACTAACTGTGCCACCCGGTGTCAATTTGGAAACTTGCTGTTTTCCTCGAAAAACAAAAACTACATCCTGTACTAAAACCTATCACCACCACAGATAAATTTTAACCTTTCTTTGACCGATCAATTGCGGGGGTGGAAAGACGAGGGAAGCCATCAGAGTTAGTTTCTGGAACAATCTTGGCACGAAAACAAACAAATCGAAACAAGAAGACTAAGTCTCCTTTATTTATTTTGATTAGTTAATTTTTTAGAACAAAGAAAAAGAGAATATAAATCTATAAACAGGATGAAACAAAACATTGTTACACACCGGATGGGGAAACAGAAATGGTGTGCGAGCGGGAGAAAACAGGAACGCATCTTTAACGTAAAATCGTTGTTTGGGACACCAGGTAAACAAAAACGTACAGAAAACAAAACAAAAAAACAAAGAAAAAAAAAACAGTGAAAAAGAAACAAGCAGAGGAAAAAAATCCTATTGATCGTTTTGTGTTACACGGGAAAATTAATATAAATATATGATGAAAACAAGTGAAAAATGTCGCCGGCTGCCTGTTGGTGGAAGCCGTTCTGGTGGATGCGGGGTGGAAAGGAAAGAAATCCTTGCAAGCGGTACAACCAAAGAAGAGTGCTATGATGCAACGGTCGGAGAATTTTTTGATCATATCATAGATAAGGATCAAACGTCATGGCGATGTAGAATGTTGCACTCTATTTTGAGTAGATTTGCACGAGCGTGTAACGTTGTGTTGAACAATCGATCTGCAATTGTTCAGAAATTCAAATGTCGTATCTCAGAAGTTCTTCCGAGACGGCAGGTTTATCAGGAAGCATTCAACTGATCTCGAGCTGGTCGATGATTTCAGTTAAGTTTTCTGGGTATTTTTAAATAGTTCAGGTTGATTAAGTATTATTCTAAAGATCTTAAACACTTCAAAAATGCAAATGAAGTCTGACAAATACTTTCCTGATCTGTAAGTACAGTCAAGATTCCTATAGTACGGATTCGTTCTTGCTGGATTCCTACACAGCAAAAAAAAATGTAATATCGATCAACGTAATTCAAGCTGATGTATGAAATAATGATGTAATAGCAAATAGCAGATACAATATTACATCAATGGATGTAATTTTGTTCGCAAAATCGATGTACATCGTACAATGTGATATTACACAACCGATGGATTGACCTGGTTGCAGCAGTTTCGATGTAATATTCAACAACTTTTTTTGCTGTGTATAGTACTGATGCCACTGGATTCCTATAGTACGGTCGATCCTGCATTAACGACGAGGGGGACGACTCTATCTACGATGCAAAAAAGATTGTGTTTTGCTGTGGCTAGCTGCGCGCACGCTGAGTAAATAGAAAGAAGATTGATGACGATTCTGAAGATTTCCTGCAAAAATTGATGAGCGATGTAAGTAGATGCGACAAATGAAAGAAGATTGTTCGAAGATTGATTCGCTAGTGTGAGATTTGTTGACCATCTAAACTTGAGATTTAGATGTGTCGCCCCCCTCGATTAACGAATACACGTACCATTTGGGATTAGAGCTAATTGGGACCAAACCGAGGGGGACGAAAGTAATCCGTTGAGTTGTGGTCGTAATATAGACTTTGGATACTGCGGGATGGTCCACCGGAAGATCTGAAACATCCGTAAAAGTGGTCAATTCATGAAACTGATCCTAGAGATAGACGGTTTTTTTTAAACCACTTATAGACATCTTAAAGACTGGAACTCGCAAAAATTGGTCGACAAAAAAATCGTTTCTTTCAGTTAAAATTCATATCACAAAAATCATCTTAATTTTCTTTTGGTAGTTCAATTCATATATTTAAAAGAAAAAATGTTCGTTTATTCTTAAGGTTTGCTAAATTCGAACTGCCATTAAATTTTGCACAGTGGTCTAATCGATCTTATTTGCCGCCGAACGCCAGTTAGATTTAAAATGCTGCTCGTTTTCCATGGATTTATTAGTTTTTTTTTTAGATTCCGTTTGACCAAGGCCCAATACCGTTCGATAGGGTGGAGTTCTGGACTGTTGGGAGGGTTGTGGTCTTTGGGTACCACAACCACGTTGTTCGCATCGTACCACTCGATTGCCTTTTTTCCATAGTGGCAGCTCGCCAAGTCCGGCCAGAACAGCACAGGTCTATTATGTTGCTTTAGGAATGGTAGCAGCCGCTTTTTCAGGCACTCCTGGACGTAGACCTCTTGATCAGGAAAATCTTTTGTGAATTTAAAATACATTCATTGAAAAATAGTTGTGGCTTCTGTTCACTCTGGTTCGTCATGCATAAGAGATACAGATTTGAGTTACGGGCAAATGTTGTAGCTAATAACAAAACCTACAAAAGTTCCATACATTATTTTGCGGAATGCTGTTTATAAAAAAGTTATCAGCAAATGAATGTAAATGAATGCACGAAATGAATGCATTCGTGCACTCATTTACATTCATTTGCCCATAACTTTTTTTATAAACAGCATTCCGCAAAATAATGTATGGAACTTTTGTAGGTTTTGTTATTAGCTACAACATTTGCCCATAACTCAAATCTGTATCTCTTATGCATGACGAACCAGAGTGAACAGAAGCCACTACTGTTTTTCAATGAATGTATTTTACATTCACTGAAAAACAGTAACAAGTTCTGCCCGCTTTAATTCGTGATGCATAAGAGATACAGATTTGAGTTCTGGGAAAAAGTTGTATAAATAACAAAACCTACTAAAGCTCTATACATCATTTTGCGGGATGCTGTTGATGAAAAAAGTTAGAGGCAAATGTATGTAAATGAATGCATGAAATGAATGTAAATGATTTTCCATGCCTGCTCTTGATTGATGGTTCCCGTAGTAATGAAAATACCGCTTTTTACACACGTGCATATGGCCTGCCAGACAAGATATTTTTTCGGGAACTTCGATAGTTTGATGGTTTTGAAAATTTCAGCCACCTTCCCATTTCCTGATGCGGTATAAAACTCCTGTCCCTGAAGCAGCTTGAAATCCGCCTTCACATAAGTTTCGTCGTCCATGACGACACAGTCGAATTTTATGAGCAGATTCGTATATAGCTTTCGGGACCGCTGCTTTGCCGACGTGTTTTGTTTGTAATCTCGGTTCACCACCTTCACCTTCTTAAACGTCGACAACCCGGCTCGTTTCTTGGCATGCTTGGCGACGTCCCGGATAGAGAGGTTAGGATTCCGCTTATATTTCATCGACACCTTCTTCGTCGTCGCTGCCACGTCCGGATTACGACTGCCGCCGCTTCCAGGCTTCCTGGCGGTTGACCGACGCTCCCCGAACACTTTTAACACGTTTGTCACGGTCGATTTGGCCACATCCAGCAATTTTGCCAACTTGACGTGTGAGAACGTCGGAATTTTTTGCCACGCGAACAAAATTTTGACACGCTGCTCCTCTTGCTCCCGTCATTTTGAAAACTGAAGAGCGAACGTTGAAAACTCATCATAGCAACTAAAAAGCCTGAATTTATAAAGAGGCGACGGGCCTTATTACGGGTGTCACTACACGGTGATAAGGAAGTGATACTCAGAATAAGAGCCGTGATTGCCGTACAAATCAAATTGGAATCACTTCACCGTGACGACAAGTGACAAGTTTTCACCGTGAAGTGACATCCGCAATAGGCCCCGACATCTTATCCATTTGACAGGTCTTCTGCTCGATTGGAATGACTTTTCCTATGACTTTGACAGACAATCGATTGTTCCAATTTTGACATGTCTCTTTATAAATTCAGCCTCTTTAATAGCTTTTAATATTAACCACTCATACATACACTCAACTTCCAAATGCAGGATTTCAGGTTTTTTTATGCATTTTTAACAGAAATACGCCAATTTGAAGTTCACCAATTATTGCGCCCAGTCGGCGCCGCCGGGATGTTCTGAGGCATAAAATCTCAGATCACGCCTTCTTTCGGAAGGGAAGTAAAGCCGTTGGTCCCCGTTCCAGACTTTATCACAATAAATTCGCAGTTTTGACCAGAAAATTGATACTGGGGACCACGGGATGGTCCACTAAAAGATCCGGAACATCCGTAAAAGTGGTCAACTCATTAAACTGATCCTAGAGTTCCTTGGTTTATTAGAAGTCACTCATAGTCATCTTATCAGAATGAATTCGGAGTTGTGGTCGGAATATGGACTCTGGATACTGCGGGATGGTCCACCGGAAGATCTAAAACATCCGTAAAAGTGGTCAATTCATGAAACTGATCCTAGAGTTCCGCGGTTTTTTATAAACCACTCATAGACGTCTCATCTCAATAAATTTTTAAGTTTTGACCAGAAAATTGATGCTAGGGACCACGGGATGGTCCACTAAAAGATCCGGAACTTCCGTAAAAGTGGTCAATTCA